CCATTGACCAAATAATTAATTCAGATCTAAAAAAATTGACCAATCACAGCTTTTAAATAGAGATTTACACGCCCCCAATCAGTGTTCAGATGGAAAAGATAGTACCACCAGCTGCAAACAATCTCTTTTGGGCTGTCTATTACAAATGTAACCAGTACTAGATAATCTAACATTGGGTGATAAGCTAGGGTCTGAATATGATAACTACTTATAAGCCAGGTTCTCTCTTGCTCTCTGTCTTTTAAATGAATGTCAAAATAAGGGAGAAATAATGATAATCAGTAGAGAGAAAGTTTGTAACTCAGAAAATGTCTGCAATACAACCCTTTGTGCATCAGCTACGTGGAACAGCACAGTCGTCACTTCCTCCTCCTGTCACTGTGCTGATCTCATATCCCACCCCAGTTCCTAATTTGCTGCTTCCATTTACCAGGAGCTGGGAAACAAAATAATCAAGGAGAGTTAGAATTGTGTGTCGATAAACACCAACAGATTAAACTAGGGTCTCCCTGTGAGACTAAAAACACGTATTTTTACGCTACACTTCAGTCATTCTTGCTTTTTTCACTGACCTCCACAGTTTCTGCATTACATGTGGCAGAGGTGGCAGGCTGAGGTAGGAGGAAGTCTAACAGAGTGTGGTTTCAAATCTATCTTGACTTAAAAACCACTTTCGGATCAAAAAGTATAAATCAAATCTCAATAAGTGTGGAATATATACTTATAGAGCCTCACCTTATGTATTATATGTTACACACTTTCATGCTGCATAGTTCAAGTTACCCTAAACCTCAATATATCCTTTCAAATCCAGGCAAATTAAATCGTGACTTACCTGTATATCTGTTCATAGGATATGGGGATATAGTCACCAGGACTCTGGGTTAAAAGTTGATCTATGGCACCGTCCAATTTTGGCCAGTATGTGCTCTTATAATCTTCAATAGTTATAACATTCATTACTAAAAGTAAAAAGTAAAATAAATTACTATGTGCCACATGCAAAGGAAACACAAATCATAGCAATTTTGCTCTTTTAAATCCCTTTCACTTACTCTTCTGATTTAACATTGACACTCCATCACCTAACATCATTTCAATTAAAAAAAAAAAAAAAAAAAGGCAACCTCGTTAGGGAGGTTAAGCAGCCATGAGTTTAAAAGGAAATACTATGAATCCATCCATCTTTAAAAATAACAAAACAAGCGATCATCATTGGTTTCCTTCCTGGTTTTCTGTAAGTTTCTGTCATCAGTGGATCAATCTCGAACACGCTCTGACCCTCAAACATACACTGTCAATTATGTGACAAAGTGGCTTATTAGTGAGCCACAACAATGTTCTGGGAAACTGTGGACACTGATCATCACTCTTGACTGACATCCCTGGGAGACTCTACCTAGGAATAGGTCTATGGGGATTAAGATCCAAATGCTACAGTCACAAGAGAGGTTGATAGAAAATTTGCTGAGTTTATGGTACCACCAGTACTTCTCAGACATTACTACAGCTCTAACTCAGGCTCTTACTATCTTAAACTCGATAAGCCCAATAGAAAAAAGTCAATGAACTGGAGCCTTACGCTGAAGGCTTTCTTCATTCCTACTAAAAGGCTCTACTCCTTCACTACAGGTTTTACAAACCATTTATAGGGGCTGGTCCTAACAGCTCGGAACACCAGGAGAGACAGCTGCTTCACAGCAATGAAATGCTAATGTCAACAAAGAGCTACCCAAACAACCTACCAGTACCTGTGTCTTATGAACCACAGTTAGCCCTGGAGACAGGAGCTAATAACTACCAGATCAGGTTTTACCGCTTATTTTACACAAGAAACTGGGAGTCAGAGCAGTTAAGTGACTTCCCCAAGACTACATGGCCAATTACTGGCAGAGGTGCCAGGTAAAGTAAAGCCTTCCCAGGCATCTTTTGACTATGATAAAACATAGCCCTGGCTGTAGTTGAGGAAAAAAAAAAAAAAGGAAAAATAAAGCTACTTAGTACAACTATTTAGGGTTAAAAAAAAAAAAAAAAAAACCTAAGCTACTTCAGACCTCAAAGTATATGAGGAACAATATCCAAGCCAAAAGCACACCCAGCACTTGCTAGAAACTGTAGTTATTTAATATTGCAAAATGTTGGACCATTTCTTAATTGTGGTGGAGACCCTGGTAATTATTGCTGAGTGATCTTTCTAGGCATTATGTTACTTCTACACCAAAACTAAACTGGGATCTGGCTCTGACATAAAGATAGGACCTGACCTTCAAGCACTGGAAGCTTTACAGCAAATTAGGGGATCAAGCCAAGTGCTCCTTCTTAAACAGAATATTTTCTGCAACCTGACCCAGATTTTAGAGTTGGAGTGATGCCCATCTACAGGAGGTTTATCAATAAAGTATTGACTTCAGTTGTTTATACTGGCAAGTATT